GACTCGTCAGGAGGATAGCGAGGGGGGAGACGAAAATAGGGAGCTCTGCGCTGTTCTCTACTTGCGCGGGCCGCACTGTGTTTCAAGCCCCCCCAACTTGCGCAGTGACTATGTCCGCTCGCACGTGTGTGTGTGTACGTGTGTGTGTTTGTGTGTGTCTGTGTTTCACGTTCGAAATTGGCCCTCCTGGCCCTACCGGGCTCTCCACACCAGCATCGACAGGGAAAAAGTGAGTAAGAGGTAAAAAGCGCGCGAGAGAGAGACAGAGACAGAGACACACACACAGAGAGAGAGAGAGAGAGAGAGAGAGAGAGAGAACGAAAGCACATGTGTGCTCCGCTGTGCTCCGCTTATTGGGGCGCGCAATGATTTGGTGAACACAACGGAGCAATAAAGCCAGGCATCGCACCCATTTTTGCCGCGGCGTGGCGCGGCGCACTGGCTCGGTGGTGCCGAACACAACAAGCAGGCGGGGCCATAAAGCGCGCTTAGCCCCTTTCGTCATATCGATTCAAACATTTCAGCCGGTTTGGCTTACGCGCGCAGCTCGCGCCGACCGCCGCAATCCCTTCAGCGGCAGCTGTAGCAACGCCGTGGGCCCCGGCCGAAAAGAAAAACGGACCGGCATCCGTAGTTACGAATGGCAGTTATAGACGTTACTTTGTTGTGCTAAGACAAAAAGTTTATAAAAATAGTTAAAAATAGGCAGTACTTATTATCAGTGAACTTGACGTTTTAACTGTGTTTATTTATCAGAGTCACGATATACTTGTCAGGGGGATTCACATTTTTAATTTCTGTTCTATTCCATCTAATCAAGACATTTTATGAGAAAAGAGAGGAATAAGGAAAACGGAACAAGAATTTCCTCTCTATGAAAACACTATATTATAATAAGGAGTATTACCTTATCGTTAGGAGGTTATTTGAAAGAAAACCTTCATGTTTACCTGAAAACCAGAGGTAACCAGAGGTAAAAAATACAAGTAAATAAATAAATAAAAAAACATCTACAGAACATCGTTGTACTCCGCGCTCCGCGAACGCGAGCCCGGGTGTCCGCTTGCTCAGTGGCACCGCTGCAGCAGCACACGTGATCAAAGTCCAGCCCTCAAAGACCCCATTAGAGGGTGATTTAATTAAAGGCATGCCCTCCTCCTGGGTGACACGGCGGCGGCCCCGGGGAGCGGCGAGGGGAGGTCGGGAGGGGGCGGCAGGACCCTTAGGTCTCTTCCTCCCCCCTGCCTGCCCGCCCGCTCAGGGCCAGTCACTTAGGGGGTTGTTGTCGCTGTTTTCTCTCCTCACACTCCGCCGCCCTCGGCGCCCAGCCGGGCCCGGGCGGCCAGCGCGGCCCGCGTTGCCCGGGCCTTCACGCTCCAACTACGCCCTCCCCAAAGTGGCGAGAGAGGAGGGTGTTTTTCGAACGGAGGACGCCCACCAGGTCGGCGGCGATGTTGTCGGGGGCGGCAGGCGCGCGAGCAGTAGTTGAAGACCAGCCGAGCACCACTCAGGGGCCTCCGGAAGCGCGCAGAATAACGACAGTGACCGAGAGACATTGACCACCGTGATTTCCAGGACTTTATTACTTACAATTTTGTAAACATGATCAAGAAGAGATGCCGCCGACATTGCACGCGATTAAAAACAAAACTAAAAAGAAACAAAGGCAGCGAGAAATTCACTGTAAAAAATTGTCGTACAGTAAAATTTTCTATGGAAGATGTTGTAAAATTACGATTTGGATTTGGAAATTTACAAGCACACCCTCAAAAATCATATGATACGACTGATCTGTTAAAACGGGCACTCCATCATAGCAGAGTTCAGTTATAACAAGCGCATTTTGAATTTAGCCGTCCCTGTCCCATTTACGGGTTTTCCTTTTCAGTTCATGCGCATGTTCAACGCTCGAGCAAGAATCGAATCGCGCATAGTCACAGTGCTTCCACGAAACGAGATCGAGCACAGGTCGGAGCGAGCTGCTTCGTAAGTGGAGAGACGACTGTGTTGTATGTGAACGAATTACTGCGAATTCACCGCAAGACCCCGCCTGCTTTCCTTTCAACGGAATGAGTGTTAACTTTGTCGTATAACCTTTGGTGCAACGACACGCGTGTAACTGCACAAACATTCTGCTGTCCTAGATTTTGTTTTTGGGATGGCTCTAGGAACACGAAATGCTTCCCCCCCTCCCCCCCCCCCAAAAAAGAGGAAAAAAAGTGATGTCATTGGATAACCAGCAATTGGTTAAAACATTTTTTCTAAAAAAAATCTCTTGATAAAATCTCTTGCATTTTATATGCCATCCTCGGAGCGATGAAACAATTTGAATCGAAAATCATTAGTCATCGCCAGATTTAATGTGAAACTGTCGCGAAGTGCCGTGAACGCCATCGGGCAGTTGTGCATCACCTTACGAGGAGATCCTATTAGTAAGGGGGCGGAGGTAGCGGGTCACCCGCTGCTAGATGCTCGCGCGCATAAGTGGTGCGCGATTTCTTGCTTGTGCGAAAGACTAGTGCGATATAAAAGCTCGGGGGCGTTATCTACCCGCGACATATCCCCGCACTTCACTAGCGGAGCAGCGGCGGGCCGCACCGCCCCGCGCAGATTGAATTTGCCGCTCCACTTTGGCTGGTACTTTATTCAGCGCCCATAGCACCGCTGCTGCAGCTGGGGCGTGGCGGGGGGCGGCGGGGGGAAGCGTACGGGCCGTGCGGGCCTGGCTCAGTACCGCTCCCCGATACATCGATAAGGGAAGGTAACGCTCTCGACGAGGCGTGCCGGGGAGGGGCGGGGTGGGACGGGGTGGGGCAGCCCCTGGCGGAGGCGGGCGAAGCGTGCGAGCGGCAGAAGCGCGCGCGCGCGCGCGCGAAAGGTTCAAATCCCCAGCTGCGCTGCTGTTTGTTTTGCCCCTCGAGTGCGTTCCTTTTCCTTTCCCTTCCCTTCGCCGCCCCCCGCTCACCCCCGCCTAACCCCGCCGGACCCACAGGTGGCAGCAGAGGGGGCGGGAGAGGGAGACCGGGCGGGAGGAGATGTGGGAGAGAGTGTGGATGCCTCGTGCGGCTGTCTCGTAGCAAAGGCGAGGCTGCCGAGGCGGAGGAGGAAGTAAAGGCAAAGGCCAGCGGGGCGAGCTGGGCATAGCAGCGGCGCGAGTATTACAGTCCGCCACCTCGCCATACCTTATCACGCCGCCGATAAATTAATCACTGTCATACAAATCCTAAACTTTGCGGGCGGCGCATTCCGAAAGACCCAGACCCCGACCAGCAGAACAGCGCCGCAGCGCCGCTGTGTTGCCGTGTCGTGATCGATATGGGACAAGAAGGCGCCGGCAGCTGGGCGGCGCAGGCCTGGCTCCTTAACGTGGGGCTGACGAAAAATAAATCAACGACGCCACTTCTCCTCTCTCTCTCTCTCTCTCTCTCTCTCTCTCTCTCTCTCTCT